TCTATTAAATTCCTGTACGTACATGTCTTTCTACTAGGACGGGTTGTATTGACAACCTACCGGATAGATAGTGCTAGCCCGCTAGCTCGAGAATTACCTATGAAAACTCGATCAATAGTTACGTTTAATGTAAATGCAACCGCTTTTAGTGTTAATTATTTTACCAATAAATGTTATACATTTGCAATACTCGTTTTATTTCGATTAAAAAAAGAATTTTCCTGCAGTACAGTTTCCTTTCCAGTTAAAAATATGTGCAGTGCCTTGCCCACTATATAAGCTCTGCTGTGATATCAAAAACAATATCCTCAAGCGCATTATATCACATTAAATTGGGCTGAATGTTCTGCTGGTGAGGTTGTAATTCCACACAGTTAAATATATTTAGAATGACAAACTTCCACATGTCGTTGTACATTTACATAACAACACTTAGTTCACTTATATTTCCCATAATCGTCAGTGTAAACCAAGCTTAACCAGCACAGCTATAGATAGCATGTTTTATATGATATTTATGAGCTAGCATATGCAGCCTTCATGACCTTCAGCGCTTGGCAACCCCACATGGCAACAAGCGCTGCGTCACAACATCGCCGCAGTGTGGCAGAAGTAGACGCTGTTTGAAACATTCGACCCAACACTTTCACTTTGTAGTCAAAAAGCTTTGAATGAACGTATTCCTGAGCATTTTTTTACTTATCACACATATATAGGCAAGTACAAACGTGCAATGTTAAAATAATCCATTGTTGCCTGATTTTATGTTTGCCGCTTGAAACTTCAAGTTTTCACCTTTAAACAACATTTGTCAAGTATGTTCCAGTCTAGCACACAATAAAACATGTAATTGTTCTTTTCATTGTTGCACTGTTAAGGGATGACACACAGGATCCCGTGACTATCCTGAGAGTCTACTGCGATAACTTCCTTTGCGGCCGACCCCTCAACCTTACTACCGATGATGACACCCTCACAGGCCCAACATCAGCAATAATGGTGTCTCGTGAGAACATTTTTGACACCACTGTAGAAGAGATTCCTTATATGGAGAATATAAGGAATCCTCTAAATGTGTCGTTCTATGGGGAAATGGCTGCTGATTTAGGTACAGTTTTATTTAAATTGTGGACGTCACCTACTAGCTAAGAATGCATTCATGAACGATTTCACTTCCACGTTTTTGGCATAAAAGGCAAATAATATTCAAAACAAAATATATCCCAAAACTCTTACACTTTAAGGAAACAACTTGGTATGACTAGGCGGGAACTTCTCTTTAATCATCAATGTCTTTCAATTCATTTTACATGTTACAAATAGTTTAGGCATTGTACTGATCTGCATGCAAAGTTGATCCTCGTTTTCAGGAGGACCTCGCAGGGAATTTTTTGCAAAGTTCCTGCAGCACGTGAAAGCCAACATGATGGCTGCGGAAGATGATCGCCTCGTCTTTCTAGAAAATCCGGCTTGGTTGGCAAGACGCCTGTATTACCATATTGGCTTGATTGCAGGTAACTTGACAACGCACCTTCTTAATATTATGTTTATGTGTAAAGGTAATGGAGAATGAGGGAGTGGGTGAAACCAAGGAAACCCTGGAATAATCAGCTTCTACAAATCCAAACCCATTAGATTAGTCAAATAAAAAGACATTTAAAACATCGTTAAATTACTGACCTTGGGAAAAAGTACCCGGTTGTTGAATTGATAAGGTGCACTAAAAATCAACGTTTGTTTATAAGGCTTGAGCTTGATTGAGGGAGGATCAGCACCTACATTCCTCCATCATGAAATTGAGAATTTGCACACAGAGCAGCTGCGAGAGCACCAACACCAGTTTGAGAAAGGCCTGAGTCGTGCAGGAATTAGGCAGGTTAGTTTCTTTTTCATTATAATTATGCTACACTATATTTTGCCAGTTTGCAATTCCCTTTCAAAATTAGCAAATAATAACTTGCTCATTAGTACCATGTGGTTATTAAGTCTTACTAAGTTAATACTTTTTTTATACATTCTGTAGCTGATACATGCAAGGCCGAGTGTGATGTTTCTCCTGCTCCCCTCCACTTCTACTGGGTTGACCGTTCAAAAGATTCTCCATCTTCTGCCACCAACGTTCAGTCATGAGGGTTCGAATGATCGCCGGGCCAAACAGGCAATGTACTCAAAGTTCGTGAAATATATTCGCAAGGTTGCAGGTGAGCTCCACACAAAGTTTCTTATACATGATGGTCCTCAATTTTTATGGAAAGATAAACTTGTTAATGAGGCCACTGTTCACGCTTAAAAAAGTGGAAACCAAATTACATTAGCTGATTGTAATGCGATAATTATAGCTGAACTCTGTACACTACTAGTATGAACTTGGGTGTTGATGCTGGGCAGCTGTAGAGTAGATAAACATCTAGGTTACACAATGTTTGAATGAAATAATTTAGAGTAAAATAATCAAGAAGAAGTATAAATTTTGTGTTCACGTAAAAAGATATATTGTTTATAACTGATACAGGTCTGCACGGTACACGCTATTCGAACGCCAGCCTCCAACCAAGTCCTGATCTCTCACCAAATCTCTATTTATATGCAACACTCTTCCAATCAACCACGCACAACTCTCTAGTTCTTTGTTCGTCCTGGTTCCCGCAAAAACCCACATGTGCATTCACACGTACATGTATCTGATCTGCCCCTGTCTAGACTAATATTCCTAAACTAACACGCAACCTACCATTCATAACCTACATGCTAACTGACTGACTCTACCCCAGCCCAGGCATATACAACTAAATCTAGCTAAAATTACTCATGTATGTAAACATCTGTGAAACACATGTTACATTTCCATATTATTATTTACCTTGTTTGGGTTGTTGATAAGGGTAACATACAACAAATCATCAATTAATTTAAGTACAGTTAAATTTTATGCACCTAATGGCAACTTGTTTTCTTTAGCTGGAAGAAGACCGCCAATCAATCTTGCGAAAGTCTTGATGTTTGCAACAGGAGCTGGAGAGGAGCCACTGCTCGGGTTTTAACCTGTTCCCTCAATAGCGTTTCATCGAGCTGAGGTCAGTTCGGTGCTACTAGCGCACACATGCCTCAATCAACTCCAACACCGTCTTGCAATGGCAGAGGACAACGTGCTCTTAATGCATTCGATATGTCCTTTGCAAATGATTACTTTGGAATGGTGTAATTAGCTATGCTCTGGTAACCTGGAATATATTAAATGTTTCATCTCATTGTACATGCTCAAGGCATCTTCAACTGCTCGAATATTTGCGGTTTGGAAAGTGAGGAGCAGTTCTGCTTCTAGTAGTGGATCCAGCAGATGAAGAATAGGGTGCACTTCAACTGCATCTACGTGTTCTTCTTCATTCTCTCCAGTATCATAAGCCCAGGATATTAGTGGCAACTGCTATATGCTCTGCTACAAATTTATTTCACCTGTTTGTCACTTGTATGAGCGAGTCTACATGTTCACATTAATCATGACTGCGCTATATGTGAGTCGTGCATCTGTGTATTATTTTTTTTATTTCCTTTACTTTATGTCTTTCTTAAAATATTAAGCATATTATGAAAAATTAAGATGATTCTTTTAATATGTTGTTGAATTTGACTTAAACGTTATAATATATTTCGAAAGTGTATATTAAAATTTAAAATTGTATAGTTACTAATTTTTCTGAGCTGGTATTCCTGCATGTATGACTGTCATGTCAATGTACAGTGTCTGAATGATGGAAACTTCTATGTTAACCTACATATTTATTTTACCTGTCTATTAAATTCATGTACGTACATGTCTTTCTACTAGGACGGGCTGTATTGACAACCTACCGGATAGATAGTGCTGGCCCGCTAGCTCGAGAATTACCTATGAAAACTCGATCAATAGTTAGGTTTAATGTAAATGCAACCGCTTTTAGTTTTAATTATTTTACCAATAAATGTTATACATTTGCAATACTCGTTTTATTTCGTTTACTTTGCAGTATCAAATGGAAATGGATGAATTTTAAGCACCCACTACCTATCTATCTATGTATACATTACAATATATCTATCTTGCTATCTATCTATTTACCTGGCTATCTACCCATCTATCTATATATCTACCGTGTGCGCAACACAAGGCATGCACGGAGCTTATCTATTATCTATTTATCTATATCCAGCTAAGATGTATCAATGTTCACATACATCAGTATATATCACTCAATAATGCTAAATTTGATATTGTTAAAGCCGCACAATGCGCATCCAAACGCTAATTTCTCCAGTACTAGACTAGCAAATACTTCGTGTCATGCATAATCACACTACCTTAT